GCTTCTTGTTACTACTAGTAAGGCACCTGTTCCTAGTAGCGTGGCACATGTTCCTAGTAGTAAGTCGTGGGTCCCTACATTTAAAGCGCTTGAAGCCTGAGGGAGGCAAAACCCAAAAAAGAAACAATCGACACTGATTCACGAAGATGCGCAGCATCAGATGGGTTTGCTTGGGGTCGCTCAAAAGGGTTTCCCACCGACCCATAAACGTTCAATGAATGACATGCTCAGGTCTAGTGCCCACCTTCAGCACAGCCTCCCATAGCTGGGTCATGATCTGCGGCTTTCGCATGGAGGCGTAGTAGAAGCCGGTGTTTCCTCCCACTGCTTTGGGCCAAACACGTCTTACCACGACGCGTCCCTGTCTGGGAACGGCGAAGGACGTTTCGCCTTTGTTTCCTTCTCAAAAGGAGAAGGGATGGGACTTGGTGGAGCTTTGCAGATCCATCTTGGTTCGGAGAAAAGAAGAGAGAGAGAGAGAGACAGAGAGCGAGCGAGAGCGGGTCCCAAATCTAATTGAAAGTTCTGGGGAGGGTGCTGCGTCGACACATTCAAAGCCACAGCAACGAGGAGGGTGACTCAACTCCCTCAACCTCTTCCCTATCTGTGACAGCGACCTCTGAAAACCACTCGTGTGGCCCCGTGCGTCAGGCCCTTGCGCTCCCGGTTCGTTTCTCCCGGGTATGGACATTAGGTGCTCTGAAAACCTTCCGTCACTTCGGCACCCAGCGCCCCTGCCTTCATTCACCTCGGCACCTGGCTCGTAATGCCGGGGCCCAGGCCAGTTCAGCTGATAGATGTAGTCGTACCTGTCCGACCGAACTCCGGAATCCCATTCAGCCCTTAGGAGGGTGAGTAGCCGGGAGTAGAATCGGCCTGGGGCAATGGGTGCGCTTAACTGCTTGCTAGTTGCAGCACCATGAAAACTGGCCTGGAAAATGCCCGTCACCAAACATGTGTCAGGCCAGACCACCGATGCTTGTATAGTATATTTTTTGTATATGCATTGGGCGTTGGGACAAAACAGCATCAAGAATCGATGAAGGGCACCATCAACTCATGGGTTCAGGAACACGGTCAAAACAAAAGGAGTCAAAACTCAGCGTTGATTGTTCTCCAAAGCACACCGGAATTGTTGAATTTCTCAAAACATCCCCAAACGATGTGGGTGTAAAGGAAAGTAATCCAGTGACTTTTCCAACCTCTTAACACAGCCGCACCAGGCTCAAGCAAGCAAATGAAAGTGAACCGTCGGGCCATGTTTTTTTATTTAAGGCGCGCAAGCGGTGCAAAACAAGGTAAACATGGCTGAAGGGCCATCGAGAGGCAATGGCCCGGAAGGATCTCACAGTCAGTTGGGACAAACGATGGCATCGTCACGCATGGTCTTTTCACTGGTACTGTTTCTTTGGCAAATTGGTAATGGGCTGGTCTTGGTCGTTGGGCGTGGGGTTGTCTCTCATGATAGCGTCAAACAGTGAGCGAGCGTCCACTGCATGCAATGCAGTGAGCTGTCGTCCACAACAGTGGGCGCATTCATCCACCATGATCTCGGAGATGAACCTGTTGACATAGTTGGCACGGTCTGCAGCTTCGTCTGCTGCGCATGCTTCAGCAGCTCATGTCGAACGACATACTGGAGGTGACCTGGCTGAGCGCCAGTCTACCAAGCCAAAGGGCGCAGGCCTTGAAATCACTGAAGGCTCTGCGACTCCGATGAGAGCTCCAATTTGGCTGCCGCTCTTTCGGGCGTTAGTAGGCCAGGACAACGCAATGCTTGTTGGGACGAAGATGCCATTCGTAATGGCGCTCTTCATGTAGGCCACAGCCTCGTGGAGGATCTTGGTCGGGGGCGTCTGTTATATCTTAATGCGCGGTTAAGGACGCGGTAACCGCCAGCTCAAGGCGCGCCTGTGTTGACGCCCAATGAAAACATCCGTCGACGCTCCTCTGCTCCTTTCTCTCCTGTTCAAGACGTCCTCGAGGAAGTGAACCGGCGTCCAATGCTTCAGTGAACTTTTACATCTGCATCTCACAGGCCACTGTGAATTCTTTTCCTTTGAACGTAGCAGGGACTCCTGTCTCAAGTGTCTGGACGGCACCCCACTGGAACAGGTTGGGGGTTTCCTTACACTTGTTGTCGGACCTAGCACTCGACGTAGATGATGAGGATGGAGACTGTCTGGTGGTCAAGAAAGGTGGGCGGTGTAGCCAACCTTTGTCAGACGAGCATGGATCTTTTTGGAGTCCTGTGAGATGGGCATTCGCAAGGCCTATAGACGTTGCCTCGGACACGGTGCGCCTTAGCAGTCCGTGTGTTTGCCAGTGTGGTGAACACAGGTCCGCTCCTCCCTGAAGGGTCTTGAACTGTTTGAAGGAAGGCTGTAGTGGCATCGTCAAGCCACCCATGCCATGAGTGGCAGTTCATCAGTTCATCAAAGAGGACCTTGTTGGGGCCTGCAACCCAAAACACAACTCGACCTGAGTTCCTGAGTTTCGCGACAACTGCTTCAGATCTGTGGGTCTACATTCTACATGACCAAGTGCCACAACGCGGCATTTAGCTTTGACTTCAACTTGTCCACGTGACTTGTCTCTGTAGCGAGCTGTGGCGGGCAGAGCACGGCGCCGAAGGTGGGTGAGGACATACTCAGCCTCAGAGTCTGGAAGTGGTTCCACACTCTGCCAAGTTGACCATGAGTCTGCTTCCTTGTTGATAACAGCAAGGAACTTCTCTATGTATGCTGCTAGCACTTCGAAGATCCGTCCTTTGCTCCGACTCCGGCCATTCACGACCTTCAAAGCCTTGGTCATTCTTTTTGGCTCTTCTCCTTCTTCACCTCGAAGAGCGTGAGGAGTGATCATCAGGCCTCGAATGAGTGAGTGAGCTTCTTGGTGGGCCTAGTTAGTCTCATAGACCTCCTGACCGCCACACTCGTCGCATAGCCAGCGGTGGGCTGAGGTTGTTTGAGTCGCATGCCAGACATCGCTAGGTACACCTCTCAACATTGCGCTCGGGCTCATCCTGGGTCGTGGCAAAGTCACGCACGAAGGGATCGGGTGGATCCTGAGCGAAGTGGGCCCGAGAAAATGGCCTTGGCGTCTCATCGAACTCATCCCGCAGGTCATACTCAGGGAGGTCGTCGGGCTCAATGTCAAAGTCATCGTCGGCCGCCTCACGCAACGCAGCACGTGGCGCACTAGGCTCCGGTGCCAACTTAACACCACCGTGAAGCAGGCTCAACACGCAAACGAAAGTGAAGCGTCGGACCACGCTTTTCCATCTAAGGTGCACAAGCGGTGCAAAACAAGGAAAACATGGCTGAAGAGGTAATGGCCCTGAAAAATCACACTGTCAGTGGCGACAAACGGTGGCATCGTCATCCATGGTCTTTTCAAAAACGATGTTCCACTCCATTAGTCCATGTGCAACACTTCAACCCAAACGACCATCCCTTTCAAACACCGAACCCGCCGATGGAACCCGCCTCTTGGATCGAATCAACTCACCAAGGCTTACACCTACGTCGGGTAGCAGTCGCATCGGCCAGATCATTGACGCCGACAGTCTAATGAGTCGAATGTTTTGAAAAAGGCCTGACAAATGTAAATAGTCGCGCAGTAGGCTGACAACGTCATCTGGGTATCAGGTGTTCGTCTTCACCTGTTTTTAGATGTCCAGGCTGTGTGGCAAATGATCGAACGTTGTAAATACAGATCCTAGGTCCTCGAGCTACAAACATATGATTCTGATTCTAGTGGCTATCCCGGCGGCCCGGTCAACAACCTCGAACGAAGGTTCTCTTCACCCGTGTTTGCGGCAAGCCTGCGGCAAAAGGATCGCTCAGGAAGACATTGTCACTGTCCTGGGTTGCAGCGTCGCCCGGAAAACCCCAAGCATGTTGCAGATGGTCTGCTGCGTCAGCAAACTCCTCAACAACGAAAAACAAAGAATGAGTATATGGGACAAAATAGAAGGCTACAAGACAAGTAAGAATGCACTGCAGCCCCCAACACCCGGCGAAAATGAGTTACGCGCAGCCCACCCTTTGCAAAATATGACCCTGTAGCCGACTGGACATGGGAATCGCTCTGCCGCCACAACAAACGGGTATGGGTCATTCTTTGAAAAGAGTCTGGTCTCCGAATGTGTTTTTTTCGTGACGTATATATTTCCTGGTAAAGTCAAAGTTGGGTCCATCACTGGGATTTTTCCGGCATGCGTCCGTGAAGACCACGTCAAAGCCCTCTTTCATTACATCAAACCTCGAGGTCCGGGCTGCTCAAAATGCGCCAAACCACGTGTCCAAATGATTTTCCACTGCCCCAACAAACCACCGCGCGCAAAAATCATGATCGACCCTTCATGATGAGGCATCAAACGTTTGATTTGTCACACCAAACACAAATTTCGAAAGGCTCCAACTAGGCGTTTAATTGCTTTTAACACTTCCGACCACCGGCCTGGTGGAGGTTATCCTCGTATTTCCATCGTGCCAAGATTTGTCACTCTCATGTTGTCAGCCTTTGATTTTGATCGGAAGATAAACTTGAAAAGCGGATCGCAAACCAACCGGTTTGAACCAAACGTTTTTGGGAGGCCTCTGCTTTGCGAGAAGGTGATGAGTTACCCACTCTCGGAAAGGGGGGTTGACCTCATCGCAAAGCCTGCCTTCCCCCCTGACCAGTACCAGGGAACCGCTTCTGGAAGTCTAGCCTGTCTCAACTCTTTCAGCCCCTCCGACAGCCCAGGTTGGTGTGTCACAGCTCTGTCTGCGCTCCACGGATCAACATGTGGCGGGATCGCACCTGCATGGTTTGCGTCAGATTCTACCCGCTCGACGCTTTGTCCCAGAATACTAAGGTGGCCAGCACTCAGAAAGAGTGAAAGGCCCAACGATGCTGGGGAAGCCCTGCACCACAAGATCCAACAAGAAGGCATCAACGGAACTACAAGAGCGGAGCGTCTCATCGTAAAAGTGCAGTGGCAACGTTGAACCATTTGTGGTTGTCAGTAACCGGAAGGCTCAATCTGGAACGCGTCGAAAAACAGCATGCGCCTCAGGACGCACCACTGACACGGAATCCAGGACACTTGCCAGTCGCCGGATACAGTTCTCCACGGAACACTCCCCAAAGACGCATCGAGCTAAGCTAAACCAACTGTTAGCACCTAGCAAGTGAGTGAGTCATCACATTTCTCCTTGGCGCCGGCTGAAATCAACCAAGCAAAAGGTGAAATCCCTTCGGTCACATCAGGTGACTCGAAATATGCTAATCCGCATGGAGGGGCCCGGTGCGACTGGGTCACATCAGGTTCCTGCTTACGACGCGCTGACCGATTTTTACCGATCGCAAGAATGCTTGGGTTGCGCAGGCGAAAACAATCGTAAACGGATGGAATAGCCAGATCATGTGCACGCTGCATTTGCTCAAAAAGCTCTCAAACTGCGTCAAATAAAGAAACCGATGCAACTTCCCGAAGAGCTTTCAACGCAAGAAAACACAACATTTTGTACAAACTGATGCGACTCTAGTGTCTGAGAGTACCCATGGAGAAGTTGCCTCCCCGAGCAAAGACCGCCAGGCAAGCCTCCTTCGATCTCGGAAATCAAACTGCCTGAAAGACTAGACGCCGATCACCTGGGAAAAGCTGTCGAGCAAGAGGCTCATCGTGCGAACGCAATGGTGGTCGGCTGCCATCCAACTTCCGAGCAGCAGATCATGTGTTGCAGCGGGCACCGCGGTGCGGAGAACAAAATGCGCCAGCAGTGATTAGTGTTGAGACTTGTGAGCACGCTGTCCGCTGTCATACCAATAGATGGTGGCAAAACCGCAATCTGAATACCGACCACGCATGGCTTGAGTCAGTGTAACTGTTCCCCGAGCACTGTAACGCAAAGAAGGGACGCATCGCTGCGCTTGGACAAGCGCATCCAGAAATTGGATCTTACGAGGTCCAAACACTGTCAGGCACTGTCCTTCAGGCACTGTCAGCTCTAGTTGAAGAACTTTACCTTCGCGCTCTACCGATCTGCTCTACCGATCTGAGCCACGAGTACCCACACTCCCAAAGGTTCCATGTGGATCCATCAGTTGTAGGAGATGATGGATCCACATGCTGGGCCTGCCCTTGGTGATCAGCTTTCGCCCAAATGGCGTACCAGCGGCGCATAATCAACAACAGCTATTCTTCGATGGTTGATTTGTTGATGATCTGTATATCCTTCTTGAAAATCAAACATGAAGTGAAGCTAGCAAACCTACCATACTTTTGGAGACATCCCTACCGTACCTACCCATAGCGTGGAACAGGGCATGAATGCCTTAAGCTAAACGGGCAAAAGGTCGGTCGACTGGAAACCTGCCAGCAGCTGCCAGCAAAATACTTCGCCGAAAATGCAACTCCTCAGGACTCATCCACTCCCCTGCGCTGCCAGGTCACACGGAGGCCAAGGTATTCATCGACATGAGGTTGAAGCCCTTGCTGAGGTACTCCTTGCTGTGAAACATGATGAGACAACTGGAACAGGTGGCGGCAGACGTGGCCCAATTACATGTTTCGGCCACCACGAACCGATCTAAGAAGCATGGAGGGAAATCGAAAAAGTCTGAGCACTTGTTAGAGCCACAGCTTCAAGTGGCTTCGCCGCAGTCTGCCCCGTGGCCAGAAGTGCTTGCGTCTTGTCCAGTTGCTCGAAGGCCTCCAGCTGTGAAACCCGGGGGGCTGGTGAGACCTGATGAGCTGTTTCTTGGTTGTGTTTTCAAGCGGTGGGTTTAAATGAGGTATGATGAGGCCTGGTCGACCAAGCCCCACTGGGAGGCCTTCCAGTCGACGAAGCGTCGACCATTCCAGTCGTAGACGATCCATGACAAGTCCCGAGAGGGATCGAAGGGCTCGAGAGTCGACACGACTAACTCAAGAATGGATAGCTGAATAATAATGCTGAACACCTGTTTCATCGCCCAGCTTTGCTTCCAACTCCTGGCGCTGCACTGCCCAGGTTTAGCCACCTTAACTTGGCCGACCCGCGTTACAGTCGGGTCGATCGCGCCTCCTGGTCCAGCGCCAAAGTCACCCAATCCAAGCCCAAGCGCCGCGCGTGGCACTCCTGAGAGCGGGCGCAAGGCGGAGAACAGGTGCACCGCGACAAAGCCCACAAGCAGCGCACGTAGGCTACGATACGATCGTGCCATGGACCCTGGCCACGGAGTCTCTAACCGGTCGGAGCCACGACCTGGTCCCGAGTCTCCCAAGAGTGCTCGGTTCGGATCGATGCAACATGTTCGGGTGGGGTGAAGGAAGAAGTATCAAGAAGTGATGCTCCAACATGTTCCAACTTACACTTCGAAACGCAGAAAGTTCTGCGTTTCGAAGCTTGGGCGCCCCAGGGGTCGGCTTGAAAAAGCCCACAGGACTCTATGCGCGTGGCTTCGCGCCAAGGCCGGCGGAAAACGCGGAGGCCAGGCCACACCAAGGGAGGCCAAGACCCATGAGAAGGGCCATGAAAGTGCAGTGCAACTTCCCACTCAACCTTTCACTTCAGTTGAGTCTCCCAGTTCAGCAGAAAGTCCATGTAAGCAGCATTGGCCACGGTCAAGAGCACCACATCCTGCATCAAAAATGGGCGTCGCTGCTTCGAAGTAAAAACCTTGAGAGGGACGTTTTTACGTCTTGCTATATAGTCGATATTTTTCTCGGAATTTCTTCACCTTTGGATGGCGGCACCTGGTTGGTTTCCGGAAAATGTGAACTTCGAAGAAACCCATGCCATCCTTGTCACCATGATCATTTCATATGAGTGTAGATGGAATGCCAGGTGATGCTTGCCTTTGGTCCCACTGTCCGCGCGAGGAAGAAAGTTGAACATTGTAACATGCGCACAACTCACCCGTTCGTCTATCTGCGAATGTCATCGATCTTGCAGAACTTCAGTCCATGCACATCTAAACCAACCCAAGGCGCTCGAAACTGTGGGACCCGGGATTTGTCGGCGTAGAGCCCTGCGCGGCGCCGCAGCACCTCTTGTGCCGAAGGCCGCGCTGGCACTTCCGGCAGCGCTGGGCCTCCAAAAGACTAGGCGTCGGGCGCAGTGATTTACCAAGATTTTCCACATCACAGTGAGCCACTACTGCTCAGCCAGCATGCTTAGGTGTGCTTGTGTGAGATTGAGCCTTGTGTACTGCAAAAAAGGCACCTGGAAAATGGTTTGGTTTGGACCTCCACACACTCTTCCACAATTGTTGTAACAAGGTCGTGTTTCTATAATGTTTATTCATTTTCTCTGTTTGTCTTTGTCTCCCTGGGAAGACACCCAACTGATTTTCACACCCACGCCACCTGGCACCGAAGTGGCCGCGCTGCCAACGGCCGAAGTTCCCTCGGCAACGGCAGCCAGGTCTGGCGGCCCTGGATCACAGGAATCGGCGCTTTCCTCCGTGAAGGAGATGCTAGCATGCATTGGCATGCGCTAACATGGGCATGTGGGTATTTCTCAAACTCCCCATTTGCGGAGTCTTGCTCCATTTGAAGCCATTGTGATGCTGGTGAGCTCAGCCTCTCAACCTGATCAACATGGGCCTCTGGTTCATTCCGGGAAGCTGGTGTCTCGAAGCATCGACTCCAGCTGTTCCCTTCTGTTCTGGCTTCGGCATCACACAACAACACAACATAGTCTGGTGGTTCCCATGTTACCCTCCCGCAACTGGGTGAAGGATCGAAAAAATTGATAATGATATAAGGATCAAACAATAAAATGTTTTAAGAGATCAAAAAAACATTTATCACTTGCAGCGTCAGGCGTAATGCTTTGTGGACCTAGCAGAGCAGATTTCGTGGGTGTAGCAGGTTGCAAAGGTGGAAGTGCAGAAGTTGTTGGTAAACGCAATGCTTTGCGCACGTCTAAGTGCAGATTTCGTGGCAGGTGCAGCACTTTGTGAACCTTGAAATGCAGATTTCATGGCAGAGGCAGCATATTGAGAATGACGACATGTAGATTTCGTGGGCTTCGCTTGGGGCTTCGCTTCTTTAGAGTACTTGGCTGGGAGCTTTCTTGGGGGATTAAAGAAGCGGGAGGGGCTTCGGGGGAGGGCGCAGCGCCTCCCCCGCAATGCAAACAAAGTATAGGACGTTGCAATGGCTTCTTTCTACTCTAAATTATATACTCGGGTGGCCCACAAAAGGGATGCTACGTTGTAATGGGTCCTTCCTACTCTGAATTTTACCCTCGGGTGGCCCACAAAAGGAATGCTACGTTGTAATGGCTCCTTCCCACTCTAAATTTTACCCTCGCGCCACAAAAGGGATGCTACGTTGTAATGGCTCCTTCCTACTCTAAATTTAACCCTCGTGTGGCCCACAAAAGGGACGCAGCCTCGGACTGGCATCTTCCTACTACAACAGGGATGCTGCGTTGCAATGGCTTCTTTCTACTCTAAATTTTACTCTCGGGTTGCCCACAAAAGGGATGCTGCATTGCAATGGCTTCTTCCTACTCTAAATTTTACCCTCGGGTGGCCCACAAAAGGATGCTACGTTGTAATGGCCCCTTCCCATTCTAAATTTTACTTTTGTGTGGCCACAAAGGGTGAGCGAGTGAGCGAGGGAGTGAGCGAGGGAGTGAGTGAGTGAGTGAGTGAGTCAATGACAAGGTCCGTTTGCAAAAACGACGCACATTTCGCGTGCACGGACGATGCCCTGCCCACCAAGGGACCAGAGGATCAGGGGACCAAGGGACCAGGGGACCAAGGGACCAGGACCAGGGGACCAAAGGACCAGAGGACTAGGTCACCAAACAATTTTTTGCTGATGCTTATTATTTGTTTTATTGATGCTTATCATGTTTTTTCTTGATGCTAATTCTTTTTATTGTTGATACCTCTCCCCCCGCAACTAACATGGAACCTGAGAATTGACTGGTGGTTTCAACGGCCAACAAACGCAAGTCTTGCGACGCATCAAAACCCGATGGCCTCCTGGACCGATCCATGTGGCGCGCAGAAGGCCCAGAGCCACCAAGAAGGAGAGGCCACAGCTCAACCGCTTCCAGCTTTGCATGCCATCAGGTGAAACCAAGTAGAGGGCCAAGAAACCTTTGGTCGGGACTCTTTCTGGAAACGTAAACTTTATACAGTAGTGGATTACTCTCGTGATGGCTTCAAAGCACTGGTACACAGTGGTACACATTCAACAACCTGAATGATTCAACAGAAACAAATCAAGGAGCATCACGAAAAAAAAAAAAGAACACTTCCTTGAAGTCCTAAGCATCTTGCGGAACCCGGCATCCAAGCGAAACCATTAGTGGTCACGTCTTTCGCTTGCGATAGCTATTCTGAAGCGGAAAAATGTGTTTATATACTCTATGACCCGATATGTGTGCACATATATATATATATACTTATATGTACGGTATACATATGTTTATATCATCCATTCCCTCATGAATTCAACCCAGCTCCTATCAGCTTTGACCCAGTCCCACCAGCGACTCATGGCGGTCGATGTTTTGGGACGAAATCCAGCGAAGCGAGATGGAGATCCCATGGATTGAGTCTTTTTGGACGCCTTTTGGGGGATCCAAAATCGTTTCCGTCAAAACAGTGACGGAAAAGCTTCCTTGAAAGAAGGCCCATTGCTCCAGAAATGGATCTTCATCCATGGCGTCCTAGCTTCATGCCATTTCATGCGACCTCTCGAGCTTCCCTGACCGACTCTGCTTTCTTTGGTAGCATCGGAAGACGGCCTCCACCTAGTAGCTTCTAGCTACGGACGTAGCTTCTTGTTCCTAGTAGCGATGGCCTCCAACCTAGCTTCTTGTTCCCTCCAGGCCCTGCCGATCCGTGACTCCGTTTTGTCGGCAGACGCCAAGTATTCCTGGTCCTGGAAAAGACGCACGGCAGCACGGCACCGCGTCACTCAATTGGGGACGGGTCGTGAAAAACACTTTGGAGCCCGAGCAGTCCATCGTGTAGCGAACGAGCAACACCAGGTAGGTCAAGCAAGGTCTCGTGGTTCTGACCCACAGCCAATGTTTTCTTCTTGCTGGGGTTTCTGGATGAGTTGTCCATGTTCTTGGGGTAAATGGGTTTTCTACTGGAGCCCGGGTGCCACGGGTCACCATGGAGTAGTCAAGTCATGTCAAGTAGCCTGGGTGTGCCACTTCCAGTTCTTGGGCCATTCAACTTGGAAGGTTCCCTCATCCAACGTCAAAACATCTGAGTCCACTGAATCGCATTCGCAGGACGGTGCAGGATCCGAACCGCAGCTCCGGAGTTGACCGAAGCCAGGGTAGGTGTCTCCCGAAGCAGGTGTGGTCTATTCTGCTCATTCTTGGGGTAATCAACCAGGGTGTGCCCGTGGCAGAGACAAAATCAGCCAAATGTCTTAGTCGAAACACTCGAAACACGGCACCTGCCAGTGTTGCAGCTCCAAGAGCTCGGGGTAGAGCTCGGCCACCCGCAGGCGCTGCTCCTTCACCGGGCACCTGCGCGGCAGAAATCTGCTCCTGACTACGCCAGTTTGGGACAGGAGTCCGTTTGGAAATCGGTTTGGTCCCAAAATCATGGAACAAAGCGAATGCTTAGTTGCAAATGGTTTCGTATGACCCCCAGAAATGTTAGAAATCATGAATTCATGGTTGACCTTCACAACTCCTGCAAAAATGTGATATCTCGCCACACGCATCGCGGGGCGGGTCGACCAGATTTCGCCACACACAGGTCGAGTTCATCTCAGATCGAAGCCCGGTCGACATCGAAACACACACAGCTCGTGCGTCGATGTCGATAAGGCGACCAGGCGACCGGCGACCCGAGGCACCCCTCTTTGCACTGGGTGTACTTCTGGCAGTGGGACTTTGCCACTGAGGCCTGGCAAAGTAATAGAGTGGTGAGATTGCCGACACGCAGTTTTCTTCTTGGTGTGTTCATCAGGTGTGTTTGATTTGTCAACTTGTGTGGTCAAAGCCCGGATTGTTGTGTTCGCAGGTACATCAAGTGTCTCATCTTAGTGACTCGTCACGCGCAGCAAAGCGACTTGTCTTACAGATTTCCTTCTGTTGCAAAATCTCTGGAGCTGTATCTTAAGACCCCAGAACTCCTTTGGAATGGATGTTGTGAAAAGATTGAACAATAAGAACATGTAAGAACCAAATGAAGAAACCGCCAAGGCAACCCTCCAAGCCAAAAATCAAACGACAAACCCGACATGTAGGCAATTGCACCTTGTGACTTAAGTCAATCTAGTGTGGTCAGAAGTTCTGTTTGCCAACAGTCCCAGGCCTCATTGTATGAGGTATTTGTCCAAATGTCATAGAACCTCAACGGTTGTTCTGTGGAACATGGCTGGGATCATCAAAAATATCGTCGAAGCAGCTCATCGAAACACACAAGAAGCAATTGACCTTGGGGGGGATTGTTGAAAACGCTCAAACAAAACATCCCGGCGGCTCTCTTTCCGCGCACGTAGTTGTGCAAATTTCAAGATCCAGGATATTGGGTTGCATGCAAAAAAGGGTTTTCGCCTAGGCGAAATCACGATCTTTTTTGGTGGTCTGATCAAGAATCATCTGAAAAACACTGTCAATAATGGTGACCATTTTTGACATGGATTTGCGAAAGCACAGGGTTTCGGACCAATTTTTTGCGCGCGACCTCTTGCGTCACCGTTGGTTCAACTGCGTGCCCAACTTAAAAGCCAGATTGCTGTTACCGCAGTTCCAACGCCATTGCCATTGACGCACACAGCGCATGGTGGCTGCGGTCTTCTTACTGGACAAAGCATGGGGCACACTTTCCTTCATGAGACGCCACAGGCCGTCAATGCTGCCTGTGTGAATATCAATCGTCTTCCCTCCGAGACGACGACGAATATTAAAAATTCCCTTCGAGTGGTTGCAGGACAAGTGCTTGACTTTATAGTCTTTGCAAATCTTGGGGTAGACCGGTGCTCCATCTGTAAGCATGACACATCTGGGAGTCAACTGATCAAATGCTTTGCACTGATCCAAACGGTGACGGCTTTCTGGAGGTGGCTTACCACCTTTCAAAGCCTTGTTGCAGCCCAAGGGGTACAAGCAGATTCTGCCACGCTGTCCGCTGGATGGTCTCTCATACAAACCGAAGACTTGGGAGTAAACCATCGAGCCACCATCTAGACCAACAAAGACCAAGCGTAGCGTAAGTGTAGAAAGTGCATTGACAAGA